TATTGATGGTGTTATGGCGCAGTGGATCATAAATAAAACCCACATATCAGGCTCTGGTGTACGATTCTTTACAGAGAGGGGTTTTTTTTCTTATTTTGAGTTTAAAGAGAACTGACAGTTGGGCATAAGTCCCCCAAATGTTCATTCATGCAGTTTAAGTCTGCTTTTAAAGAGAAAAGGAAAAAAGAAAAACTTCAAAAAATGCACACACCTGATTTATACAACCATGCCAAAATATCTCCCTTATTTGGGGAGAGGAATGATGCCATGCATTTTGGAAGCAGGGAAAATTCTCCCCCCCCCTTTTATTTAAATTAGAAACAAACTTGTTTTACATGTCAATCCCAGTTCTCTCTCCCTCCCCTCCTCCCTTGCCCCCCACTGGCCCATATCCCATCCCCTTTCTGCTCCCCAGGGAGGGCGAGACCTTCCATGTGGGTTCTTTTGGAGCAGGGCCTAGGCCCTCCCCCATGTGTCTAGGCTGAGAGAGTATGCAGGGAAAATTCTTAAAACACTTTTTATAATAAAAGTGTGCTGTTAACAAATGTTACTTTCATCCCAGGACAATCTTCCAATTAAACTTAGCTTTTATGATGAAAACAAGACACTCGCAAAACAATTATTCTCTGAAGCACTTACTTTCAATTCTGCTGTATTAGCTCTAAGAATGGATTATATTATACACATTTTTCTCTGTCTTTGCCTCATGTGGGGTAGAACTCAGGGTCTTCCACTCACTAGCACACCTTTTAACTCTGAACTCTTTGGGTAGCCCTAGCTAGCTTCAAATACAAGTCTCCCAAGTGCTGGGGTTGCAAGTGTGCCCGAAAAGGATGTTTCATGCACTCATTTTATTTGCTTTTTCCTTAGTGAGACAGGGTTTCATTTACACTCAACTGAGGCTTGATGAGTGTTCATTATGTAGCTAAGGATGACCTTGAACTTCTGGCACTCCTGCTTCCACCACCAGAGTTCTGGGATTAGAGGTAAGCTCTGCCTCACCCAGTTTAGACAGTGCTGCTGATTGTGTTCAGGGCCTGGTGCATGCTGGGCAAGTGCACTACCAACTCAACAACATCCTTGGTCTTCAGAATGCTGTATTTTCCATAGAGATGATGTAATGAGACTGAGAACAATAAAGACAGAAATGCATGAAACCAGCTGTGGCTACCCTGCTCCCAGGCTTGGCAATGCATGGCTCGGTCACTCCCAGGGAATTATGCACCCGATTCTGTTTTCCTTTCATCTGTGTGTGAACATGATGTTTAATTATAAACCCAACTTCTTTGACTCCCACTTGAAAAGTCTGTGACCCAAGGGCAAGCTGCTGGGGTGAAGGAGAGCATTTGGTAAGCCAGGAAACCATGCACTGTCTTAAAAGTGTTAAGAAGGAACAAGGATGGGGACTGGAGAGATGGCTCAGAGGTTAGAGCACTGGCTGCTCTTCCAGGGATCCTGAGTTCAATTCCCAGTACCCACATGGTGGCTCACAACCACCTGTGATGGGACCCAATGCTCTCTTCTGGTGTGCAGATGTTCACGTAGACAGATCACTCACATACATGAATAAAGAAGAAGGAGGAATAAGGAAGGTGAAAAGGGGAAGGAGGTAAAAAAGGGAAGGGAAGCCTAGTAGTTTCATTGTTAGCCACCCTTTCCTGCCCAGAGCTGTGCCATGCTCGTTCTGACTGCATCAACAACATAACTGAACGAGAGCTGATTCCTAGAATATAAATATGAAGTGATATCCAGCAACAGCAGGGGAAATCCATAATTCCTTTTAAACATTATTTTATTAGTCCTCCATCCCTCTCTCTCTCTGTTACCAACAGTTATAGTCTTGCCCGAGGTTAGAGAAGCAACACTGTGCAGTGCATTGCAGGGAAGCTTCTCAGATAGGGGTCACAAACCCTTAGTGGCTGCTTTTCTGCTGCACAGGCTAGTAGTAATTCTTGGTTCTGAATCTTAAGGAGTGATGTTACCAATTAGAAGGTATTATGATTCAAGTTCACCCCCCCTTTCTCAAGAATAGATAGTTCTGTAGTTAGTTGTCAGGAAAAGGTGGTCTTTCCCTTGGAGGTCTAGGAGGAGCTGGGAGTGAGGAACTACCCCCAGGGGACAAGGGGAAATTCCTGAAAGACAGTTGTCACCAGACAAGATCTTCATATGCATCTCTTCATGACACATAGTTACCATTAGGTTGCTTCCCTCAGAGGCTTCCCCAGCAACAATGCTCACACACACATCTCAGTGCTCGGCCATGTGACCTCCACGATTAAAACTGTTAGCATCAACTAAGGGCACACAGAGCCCAAGATTTTCAGAGTTCCTCAGTAGCAGGCAGGGTCCCCAGAGTTCTCATCGGCTATCTGGAGCTTAGCTGAGATCTGCTGTTTCCTCCTATTTCTTTTCAAGACTTGCTGTGTAACCCAGGATTCAGCGGCCTCAGACTCTGCCATGCCTGTCCCAGAATGTCCTTTGAACTAAATCTTTTAACCAGATTTACTATTCCATGTTTTAGTTTTTGTTTGTTTGCTTGTTTTGTTTTGTTTTTTACTTTTTCCCTACAACATAATAATGTACCCTAATCCCATACACCTCCCATTCCTCCCAGGTCCACCCTCCCATCCTTGTGCCCCCTACACACAAAAAGAAAAAAGAAAAACAAATAGTCCAGACAGGAAGCTGTTGGAAAGAGTGCTTAAAAGGTGTTTTTAACTTATAGGTTGGCCATTTTCCTATAGAGTTTGAAGAGCATACACTTGTGTGTAACTTGAATGTGAATCTCAAGCATTTTCTGATGGTGTCAGTGTAGATTAAATGTGTTCTTTGGATAAAGAGTTATTGTCCTACAAGCATTCTAAATATATCTCTCTTACAAGTCCCAGTTCTTATTTGTAGCTGGGGGAGACTAGGGACAAATGTCACACAGACCTGGGTAGAGAGATTTATGGCTGGTTTAACTTGATTGAATCATGTTTTGGGGGTTGTCTTTTGTTTGTTATGGTTGGGACAAGGTTAAAATGACATGGGTAGTTGGCAGAATGTCCCCCAGCTGGGTTCAAGGCCCAGGATACAAATCCAGGTCTGTCTGAATCCCAGTTCCATGCTCTTTCCAATGCAATGCTCTCCCCTGTGTCTACTCTGGCACCTTGGTGGCTTAGATATGACTTAGTGTCAGAGAGTTTGTCTGGGATGCCTAAGGTCCTAGACTTGACCCCTAGCACTACAAAAGGAACCACACAGAAGAGTCCCCCTGCCCCTTCTCTGCACCTGCCATGCAGATTTAGCTTGCCTGCTGAAGACAGTAAGCACCACAGCAGTGCATTCCTGAGGCCCCTCCTCTGCAGCAACCCTGTGCCAGTCAGCTGTGAGCTTCCCAGAAGTCAAGAAGCTACACATGAAACACTGTTCTCTTCAGACTGTAACGTGTGCCCAGTAGAAAATACAAGAACGCAGTAGCTACAATACCCACTTTGGGAAACAGCCCACTTGACTAAGGGTATGAGATCCATGACAGCAGAGTGTCATCCTGACTCATTTTGTGTTACCTCAGTTTCTCTGGAAACTCTGTGATACCTCAGGAAAAGACAAAGCCTAGGCATGAAGGGGAAAATTGAAATGATGGGTCAGATCTGAAGGAGTCAGCCTGAGGCCCCACCTATGAGTTCTTCCTCTGTTGCTGGGAGCTGAGAGTCTTGAGCCTGTCAATGTGCAAACTGTACTGCATTCACAAAGGGGTCCTAAACTCTGACTGTGAATTCCTTGACATATAACATTTTACTGTCTGCTTCTTCAAGCAATGCTGAGATCTAAGCCAAATGGCCAGTTAACCAGAACCCTACTGGTACCAGAGCTACAAAAAAAAGGGGAAACAAGCAGAAGCCTACTCAACAACCCGGTCCCAGGTAATTAAACAGGAAAATATCTAGTGGATAGCTGTTCCCCTTGTTCTTTGAAATTTGATCTCTCTCCTGATCTGGGGTCACAACACACAGAAGAACAAGGCACTTAGAGAACTAGCATTAGAAAACTCAAGCAGACACAAACATGACCCTTCAACTGCCCCAATGAAGATGGGAGTTGGAATGATTTTAGTCAGATTCCTTACCAGTGAGCCTCAATTACACAGCAATCTCAGTGGATGCTTTGGGCTGGGTGTGGTTTTCCTTTTTCTTTAGTGGGAGTCAAGCAAATAAGTGCTTAGCCCCTAAAGCAGTGGTTCTCAACCTATGGGTCAAGACCCCTTGGGTCAATCAATGCTTTCACAGTGGCTGCATATCAGCTATCCTACATACCAGATATTTACAACTCATAACAGTAGCAAAATTACAGTTATGAAGCAGCAACAAAAATAATTTTATGGTTGGGGATCACCACAACGTTAGAACAGCATTAAAGGGTAGCAGCCTTGGGAAGGTTGAGAACCAGTGCCCTGAAGAATAGTGGTTGAGGCCGGCAGATCTTTTTTTTTTAATTATTATTATTATTAAATTTCAATTTAAATTACAAACAGGGTTGCTTCACATGTCAATTCCAGGTCCCTCTCTATTTCCCTCCCCTCCTCCCGTGCCCTCCCACCAACCCCCCAATACCCCCTCATTTCCCCTCCATGGGGGTGTCCATAGTCTGTCATTTCATCCAGGGCAGGGCCTGAACCCTCCCCCAAGAGTTCAGGGTGAGAGTGCATCTCTCATTGTTGGATGGGAGTCCAAAGTCCATGTGTATACTCGGGACAAATACTGTCTACTACCCAAGGCTCAATAGATTACCTAGGCCTGCTCACTGATACCCACATTTAGGGGGTCTTGATCAGTCCCATGCTGGATTCCCAGGCATCAGCCTGGGATTCAAGAGCAAACCCTTGTCAGGTCAGCTGTTTCTGGGGTTAAACCAGCCCAGTCTTAATTCCTTTTGTCATCAGTCCTCCGTCTCTGTCACTGGATTTCTTGAGTTCAGCTCAGTGCTTAGCCGTGGGAGTCTGCCTCTTCTTCCATCAGCCACTGAAGGAAGGTTCTGTTTCCCAGACTCTCTGGAGGCCAGCAGATCTTTAAGAGGCTTGTCTGCCCAGTGGCTTGCCCTGCCTGTCTTCCTCTTTCCTGCACAGAGATCTAGGGTGACAGGAACTGTGACAGCCCTCCCTTGCAGCAGTGTGAGCTTTCTTTGCCCTTCGCCTGTGATGCTGGAGCAGCCGTGTAATGCTCCGTGTTTTCATTTCGCAGAAGATCCGTGTGGATTGCCATGAGCATCTGCGGCTTTATTGGTCTGATTCTTGCAGCTGTCTGACAGCTGCTTTTTATGGTGTCCTTTGTAGACATTGGAATTCAGGTGCTTTTATCATGCTGATGGGCCAAGACCAGGGGTCTCTTCGCTTGGGTTTGTGTCTGTGGCTATGTGGATTCTTGGCTTCCTTTAAAGGTAAGTTACTTGGCTTACATCCTAGAATGTTTTTGTTCCATGCATTCACTCTCCTCTCTCATCTTGACTAGATTCAAATGACCAGATGACTTTTATTAGTTATGTTTAACCTAACAGATGAGATTTGGACAATGGTGTGGGGAATACATTGAAATATACTGTAAACAGTATTTCATTTTTCTAACTAAAATACATCTTCCCAACTAGCACACAGAATCGCCTATTTTTGTAGCTGTTTATGCTATCAGTATGCTCCGCTTATTTATTTGTGGCTATGTGTAATATATTTTTCACAGAGTGATTTATGTGTTCCCTGGTACTTACTACCCAGCTTTGAGAAGCCTCCCGTTGTAAGTAATTGTGCTCACTGGTGAGACCTGTCTCATTGTCTATACTAAGAGTGAGCTGGCTCCTTTCAAAAGTTGACTTAAACATGCCTGCTGTGCTGAACAGATCACATACCCCCCCTCACCCCAACCCCAACCCCAACCCCAACCCCTGTGCTACTAAGTTTGGGGGGGTGTTGATAGAAAGCTCCTCAAAAGAGTCTCCCGGGAGGGAAATGGCAACACTAGCCAGGAAGGTTTCTCAGCGGCTTCTGAAGAAATGTTTTCATTGTGGTTAATTACACTGGCGAGAATGACAGGTGACAGGTACAGAGGTTTCTTTCCTGCTGCTATCCAGGCATTCAGCAATTCCAAATGGATGTGTGAAGCGTCTGAGGCGTTCAGTGAGGAACAGCAGCTACTCTCTGCTCCTTTCCTCTGGTCAGGCTTTTAAGCCCCCTGTCTCTCTGTCTCTGTCTCTGTCTCTGTCTGTCTCTGTCTCTCTCTCTCTGGACAAATCTTTTGGGGAAATTTATGGCATAGCATTCATGGAGTCAATTTTGAATTGTACAAAACAAACGGAAGGTGTATGTTTCAGTGGGGTGTTGGGGAAGTGAGTTGTACGCATTGGAGGTGAGAAACCAATTCAATGCCGTCTTAAAGAATTAGAGACACAGGTGGCACTACTGTCCAGAATGTAACAGCTAAAGAGAGTACTGAGAACCAATTTTCAATTGCTTCTATTATGACTTTAAGTAAATTTACTTTAAAACTTTTGCATTCTGACAAATCTAAAGATACATGACTCCAAGGTACTTTTTTTAAAGGGCACGGCTTTTGAGGATCTAGGCAATGACTAGATACTGTGTTTGTTGGGTGAGGGTGCCAGCCTTGCCAATTATAAACCTACAGACCTCCAGAACTCTTGGAAAGCTTCTAGTTCGGTGGTCACGGCTGTGAGCTGTGTTTAGTGACACAACAGTTTCCCTCCTTGTGACATCCTATCCCATGACATTTATGGCACCCTTGACTTCAACAGGAAGTCTTCTTGGGATCACTTTGTGGGCATTGTACTAGCTCTGAGAAGCCTGCTTTATCTCAGTGTTGAAACAGAGCAAGCAAGGTTTAAAGGGGTGGGTTGAGCTGCCCTAGTGCCTGCAGGAATGGGCCTAGCTGGTACAGTGATGAGACTCTGAGACAGTAGGCTTGGGCCAGGGGAGAGCCGGGTCAGACCCTCCCACAGCCCTTCCCTGATGCTCTCCTCTGTCCGCCACACAGGCTGCACAGGCTGTGCCTCTGAAGAGCAGCTCTTCCGCAAGCTGTTTGCTCGCTACAACCGATTCATCCGGCCAGTGGAAAACGTGTCTGATCCCGTTGCAGTGCATTTTGAGTTGGCAATCACACAACTGGCCAATGTGGTGAGTGTCTCCGACTCCAGATGTGCTCCCAGAGGGCTTGATTTCCCAGTGTTCTTACTCTTTGTGCAGCCGGTGGGCACAGAACTCTATGGCACAACTTAAAAGTGAATGCCAGATGACATGCGTAGGGTCCCTCAAGGCCCTGCATAACACTGTCCTTGCTCAGGCTTCCCATGATTAGAAGTTCTTTCAGAGTCAGGTTATAAAATAAAGACGTGAAGGCAAGTGGAACGGAGCCTTGAAGAGAGCTGAATTACATGACATACTCTGTGACGTTCATTGGGCTCATTTTCAAGGGCGAGTGGAAGTGAGGCTCTTTCGGATTTTTTTTTCTTCCTTCCTTTTGTTTTTGTTCTAAATAATCTTCTTTCTCTGGTTCCAGGGACAGGAGGTGGAAAAGTCTGATTCTCAAAATCCAGCAGGGTCTTAGCTCCAAGCCTGGACTTCAGTCCCAATTATACTAGTAGGTAGACTATAAAATTAAGGGAAGCCTGGGGTGTCACCAGAGAGAGCATTGGAGATGGTCCCCAAGCCTGTCATCTTCCAGCCCAGCCCAATGGTAGGGAAGGAGTCCTCCTACCACACAGCATCTGGGTGACAGCATCAGGGGTGACTTCTCTAGGTGTACTTAGGGAAAGACCTAAACACAACATTTAGGCAGATACCACCAGGCTTCTCCAGTCTACACTGCCCAGTGGACTTTACTGACCCAACCTGTTCCTTTAACTCTAGATTGGACATGTGCATAGTCTAGGAAATACTGGCTCATGTTTCAAATGCCAGACGTTTCTTCTTACCTGGTTAGCCCGACACAGCCCATTAAAAACCACTTCTTTCATATCTGTTCTGACCCCTTCCTGGTTTTACAGCTGGCCAGAATGCATGGGGACTGGGCTACTGGAAGGTAGAGAGCTAAAGTGAGTGTCACCTGAAGTCTTGAAGGGCCACCCCTCTCCAGCTTTACTTCACAGCGTCAGATTATGGAGAATGTGTAGGGATTAGGCCAGTTATCTCTGAGACCTCGGGGAACAGAGGCAGCAGGGCTTATCCGGGTTTGAGCACAACATCTAGTGCATATACTGGCAAAGCTTCTGCTAGACCCAACAGATTCAAGGTGACTCAAGACCAAAATGCCCTGATCAAGAAGGGTAACTGTGAAGCTGTACGAGCTCCATTTCTCTAACTCTTCTTGTTAACCTTTCCAAATCTCATTGCCCATGAAGGCTCCATATGACCCGCTGATGGGGAGAAACTTGGCATAGTCTCTTTCTGGACCTCTCCAGGGTGGGTAGCAGTAACCATGGAGTGAAGGAATGGAGCCAGCGAGCGGCTCAGTGGAGTGGGGAGGAGCTACTGTCAGAGCCCTGCCTAGGGTTCCTTCACGCTATAGGGACCTCCGATATCCTGGGAAGTAAGATTTTAGAATCTCTTGATGACTGCTAAGAAAATACCAGCAATACCAAACTATTGTGCTGTGACCTACCTGCCATCTAGGTGTGTCTTGGGTAGCTGTCCTACTAAGGATCAGCGGCCACTTAAGAGTCAACTGTACTGAAGATGGTGACAGGGAATGCCTGCATACTGCCTGCCCTGACTCTCCTTACATTGCTTAAGGGGCTGCTTGGACAGAAGCCCTCCTCAGAGAAGCCTCTCTTGACTCTTGTATAAAACAGATGTGTGTGCACACATGAGCCACTCTACCTCTCTTTGTTATATCAAATTATATTTTATGTGTGTATGTGTATATATGTTATTAGTTTTGTGTCTTCCCAACCAGCAGCTAAGAACACATGAAGGCAGGAGTTTGCTCCACTCTGTAACTGAGCACAAAGTGGTCACTCGGTAAGTGTGAGTGTCCTTTGTAGCTGAAGGGTGCTTGGGCTGTGGAAGGGAATACACAGGGATTGGCTCTCCATTTCCAACTAGCAAACTTGCAAGTGGGCTGAAGCTGTCGTTCTGGTTTGGATCCCCTGGCAAATGCACCCAAGGAGTTCCAGGCTTCTTTGAGGGGCATATGTAGAGACAGTGAGCACCTGTCACCACCTACAGTGCTGCCCCTCATTGTCCCTAAACCTCTGCCCTCCTCCCTGTCTCCTTCCACTCAGGTTTTATGGACTTAGGTGATGAGAAAAGATTCCCAACGGAGGTGAAATTCAAATGAGACTGGAGCAACATCTTGAAGCCATATGTCATTGATAAGTTAACAGAGCAGGGACAAGTATAGAGATACCATATTTCTGTGCACGTTAAAGTTTAGTTCTCTTGATTTCATGCTTGTCCCCTTTAGCACAATTAACTTAGATTTGTCAATTTTTAGCCAGAATTCTTGCATAAAGATTTGTATTAGCAAGTACATAGAAAGCTGAAAATTATTTCTCCCTCCCAGGATGAAGTCAACCAGATCCTGGAAACCAATCTATGGCTGCGTCATGTATGTGTCTCCCATGTGCCTCCCCCTTAGAAATGTAACCACGTGTGTCTACTCAGTGATAAACACACCTACATTACCTCTCTCCCTCTCCAACCTATAATAAATATAGAATATCCTCAGGCTCTGCTATGGTTGCAGCTAGCGTAATGCAGGCAGCACATAGGCAGACCCTACTGGCTTTGACATAGAGCCCTCTGGCCTTTCTATTTTCTGCTCTCAGATCTCTTCTTATCGATTACTGGAAGCCTAAGTCCGATGGTTACTTTCCTCTTTGAAAGCTCCAGGAGGTCAGTGGTTGAGGTCTGGAGAATGTTATTATATAACCAATAACTGGTTTTTACAAGTTAGACTGCCTTTGCTCTTAAAAGTCTAAATAGTGTACACAGTGCAGTAGACTCATCCTCATGCATACAAATTATGTTTTTATCATTAGAAACAAGTTACTACACCAGCTTTGAACTGGAGAGTAGTCCATGAAGCACAGTATGAAACCTAAATATTGGCCAGTTAGCTTGTTATAGGTATGCCCAAATCAGTTCCGCTATTTAGCTCCCCATGACCACGGTTATAATTCCTTGCTTTTAATAGAAATGAGTTTATTCTTCAAAATATCTTATTTTTTAATCAAGAAAATTATCGAGCCAATATAAACATTTGGGAAGTTATGATGGCATTCTTCAAAAAGGATTCTTATCCATTTTCAAAGTGAAGGGGACTTGTAGGGAGGAAGGGGGTAAAAGGGATTGGCACTGAGGTTCAAAGAGGAGATAACAGTAATCAGAACCCCCAATGTATATGTATTAAATTGTTAAAGAACAAATTCAACAAAAGTTAGAGTGAGACCATCACCACAACAAGAAATGACTCTTCATCTCTTTTCCTTTAGATCTGGAAAGACTACAAATTACGTTGGGATCCAATGGAGTATGATGGCATTGAGACACTTCGTGTTCCAGCAGACAAGATCTGGAAGCCAGACATTGTTCTATATAACAAGTATGTGTATCTAGACAGAATCACAGTCAGTTTTCAAAATCTTTAGCTCATGTGACTCACAGCAAAAGAGCCATACTGCTAACAGTGTGTGGTCTTTCTTGCAGTGCTGTTGGTGACTTCCAAGTGGAAGGCAAGACCAAAGCTCTTCTTAAGTATGACGGCATGATAACCTGGACCCCACCAGCCATCTTCAAGAGTTCTTGTCCTATGGACATCACCTTCTTCCCTTTTGATCATCAAAACTGTTCCCTGAAATTTGGTTCCTGGACTTACGACAAGGCTGAAATTGACCTTCTGATCATTGGCTCCAAGGTGGACATGAAGGACTTTTGGGAAAACAGTGAGTGGGAAATTGTTGATGCTTCTGGCTACAAGCATGACATCAAGTACAACTGCTGTGAAGAGATTTACACAGACATTACCTACTCCTTTTATATCAGGAGGCTGCCCATGTTTTACACCATTAACCTCATCATCCCCTGTCTCTTCATTTCCTTTCTCACCGTGTTGGTCTTTTACCTTCCTTCTGACTGTGGTGAGAAAGTAACTCTTTGCATCTCAGTTCTGCTTTCTCTGACCGTCTTTTTGCTGGTGATTACTGAGACAATCCCATCCACATCTCTTGTGATCCCACTGGTGGGTGAATATCTACTGTTCACCATGATCTTTGTCACACTGTCCATTGTGGTGACGGTGTTTGTGTTGAACATACACTACCGCACCCCAGCAACGCATACCATGCCCAAGTGGGTGAAGACTATTTTCCTTCAGGTTTTCCCCTCAATTCTGATGATGAGGAGGCCTCTGGACAAGACAAAGGAAGCAGGTAATGTTAAGGACCCAAAAAGCCTTCCCAAGAGAACTGCCAAGGTCAAGTTTGCTCATCGAAGAGAGCCCAAGCTTCTGAAGGAAAGCTGCCGCGGTCAAAAATCACGCGAGACAGCCCCTGGCAAGAGAAGATGGAGTCAGCAGCCTGCAGGGTGGATGGCAGAGAATTCAGAGCACTCCCCAGATGTGGAAGATGTGATTGACAGTGTTCAGTTCATAGCAGAGAACATGAAGAACCACAATGAAACAAAGGAGGTAAACATATACCCCTTCCCTCCAGCCAGCTGCACCCCTACAGGCCTATAGACGCTTTAGAGTCTAGTCAGAGCATCTGTGGGAGTCATGTTTGTAGTAAGTCAGACAGAATCATCTAAGACCTGCTCTGTTGTCATGCAGCACTGGGGGACACGGGTTAGAGCTTAGGTAGCTATCGTGAGATGATATGCAGCCCTACAACAACTCTCCAATCTGCATTTACTTACAGAAAAATCCAGCTATGCTACACATGAAGGACAAGCCCCAACCCAGCAAACAGTAGCAGAGAGGGGGTGGGGAGGGAGACTGCCCAAGGGAAAGGAGAACTGACTGTGGTACTGCCTGAAGGATGTGAGCTGCAAGGATGAAGGATGTGAGCTGCTTAGCATCCAGCAGCTCTGGTTACACTTCCTCTACTAGAGGTGGACATAGACATGAATCCAAGGCATGGTGGAGATGTGCTCAGCGTGTACACAGTCTGCTCCTGTCTCCCATACTCCCATGTCAGTAACTCGGCTCCTGCTTCCCCAAAGCAAGAACCCAAAGCTACTATGCCAACTCTCCATGCCATCCCTTGACTAGCTGAACTTCCGAAAGCTTTTGCCAAGTGTCAGGAGTTGCTACCTACTATAGCTCCTGCATCTGTAACCCCTAGTGAAAGGATATCAGGAACCCCAATACCAGCCTGTTGATGCACTGGGAGATAATGAGAATGCTTGTCATATCACATGTCACAGAACAGGAATGGCCAACGAGCTCATCTCCAGGCTGACATCTTTTCATATGTAGGAGATACAGTTGCTATTGACCTATCATGCCATGCAGGTCTTTTACAACACAACCCACAGAGACCATAGCAGAAGGTTAGAAGTTTGGGATTGGAAAGATTTCAGATATGTACACACTTTCCCTGTTAGCATCACTTTGAGGCCTGGAGGCTGCTTATTTCTGTGTAAGGGGTCCTCAGTCAGACCCCACATCCTCTGGCCTTTCTCCCACTGCCTCACACTCAGATCCCCCAAAGGGCCAGGGTCTCCTTGTGCACAAGTGACAAGAGTTGTATTCTCAAGCAGACACTTTGGGAAAGCATCCCTAGAACCAGTAAAGGGGTCCTTTGTCACAGGGAAGGGGTGGTAAAAGTCTTCAGCATAGTCCATAGCCAGCTCTGGGAGCCACCCATGATGTATATCTACCCTCCTTAGACAATGACCACCACATAGGAGACATAGGCAGGCAAACATAATACCAATAATTGATTTTGAAAGTATTGGAGAAAGTTGTTTTTGGGGGGGAAACACTACTACTCATAAGACAAACATGTTTTCCTATGGTCTTAGATTTTAAAGCTAGTCTTGATCTTTTGTTCGCATTTCAGGTAGAAGATGACTGGAAATACATGGCCATGGTGGTGGACAGGGTCTTCCTCTGGGTGTTTATAATCGTCTGTGTGTTTGGAACTGTGGGGCTCTTTCTACAGCCACTGCTTGGGAACACAGGAAAGTCTTAATCTGTATTTTCCTTTTGCCTTCTGAATCTTTTAGATGTTGTGTTTGTTCTAAACTACTTACTACAAGAAAAGGCCAACTACCCATCTCCTAAACCACAACAAGAAGGGAAAGGGGGACAGTATTAAAATCATAGAAACCTGAATATATGTCCTCACTGTGCCAGGAATCCATTAGAGTGTTTTACCACCTGGAAGCCCAAAGATGGCAATGTATCTAAACCAGAAGCACTGACTCAGTTTCTCTATGCCATGCATACTTTGTTTCCAGAAATGTGAATGACCTCTCACAGTGCTAGACCCCACAGCAAGCATCAGTCTACACTGAAAAGTGATTCTCTCATAAATGAAGCTCCTGTTGGTTGTTGCAATGAAGGATAAGACTAGAGAGAAACTCTGGGACACTGCTGACATTTGCAACACCTGTCTACTCCCGTACCCTGCTTTCTTGTGCATGTCTCTGTGATGGAGCTCACACTAGTCTCCAGCACATGCATGATTAAAGGAGAAACCAGACTATTCAATTAGTTGCACTATTGTCTTTCTGTCTGCATGAAAATTCACCTGAGACCATCAATGTGGAAGGAGGAAGCTGCTATGAATTCATGGTTTCAGAGGATTTAGTCCATGATCACTTGGCCCCATTGCCTCTGGCCTTTGCAGAGGCGAATCATCATGGCAGGTATGCCTAGTAGAGAGCAACTGTCCACTTAATGATAGCTACCAAGAAAGCAAACAGAGAAGAATCTGGGGTACCAATACTCCTTTCAAAGGCATAACGCAATGACATAACTTCATGCTACAGGGCCTCATGTCTCAGAAGCTCCACTACCTCCCCATAGTGCAGAGGACTAAGTCTTTAACACATGTCTTTAGGGATGATCCAAACCATAGCAGTATGGTTCTGATAGGACAGTTTGCTGGTACCCAGTACTGTGCTAGGCACTACAAGGGTAATATAAATAGATTCTTTCCCCTGTAAATTTACAGCCTTTTAGAAAAGTCATACATGCAAAGATCCATGGGATTGGGTGGTGGAGAGTATAGCTGGAGCAACCCAAACAAAAGAACCTAATTGGGGAAACCTAAAACCACTCTTGTGTTTTAAATAGCTCTCTGTCTACTCCTTTTACCAGGAACCCTTCACATGCTCACTGCATGGACACAAAATAAAATCTGTAAGAAATGTTAATCTTGTGCCATTTTGAGCAATTTATTTTCCAAGTGGGAGAACATTGGGAGTTGTGTAGTGTTCCTCTCCATTTCTTGTTTGCATGACTGTGATTACTTGCAGGTGTATCTTAGCAGCCCATAGAGTCAAGCAAAGGAGTTGTTTTCAATTCCACCCTTTTCTCTCCTAGCAAGTCCCTGTTCGTGTGCATAGGTAATTTCATGATTCAGTTTTACCTTCCGATTCTGTTGTCTCAAAACAATATCAGTAACCTTTGTCAGGGCCTGGATGATGGACTGTCTGTCATCCTTGAGAGGTGACACCTGGTTCCTTCAGAATGAGGCCGCGGACACAGCAATACCTCTCACCAGATAAAGGCTTCACACACACACACACACACACACACACACACACACACACACACACTTTCCAGATGGTGTTCAGAAATGTCTAAAGTAAAACATGATGGTTCACAAGAGTTACTGTTCTGGCAAAAGACCAGCGTTGAGTTCCCAGCACTCATACAAGGTTACTCATATCTACCAGTAGCTACAGTTCCAGGAGATCTGGGGTTCTTTTCTTCCCTGCACAGGCATGCACACGTGACATACATTCATACACATACTCTCTCCCACACATGCTCATATATACTTAGTAAATCTTTAGAAATGTACCAAAAGGCCATTGTGCCTGTCCCAATGAGTAGGGATAACATTATCCCTTGAGACCTGGGGACTAAGGACACTAAGCTCCTGTGAAACAAGTTGGTGCAGAACTTTCCCTGTTAGAATAACCATATGATGGACACTCCTAAAAAAACAAGACTCTCTTGAGGGTCTCTATTAGGGGCATAGTATTAGAAGGATTAGCAAACATTCCCTCACACACTGCCTTGCAGCAGGAGCATCTGACCTGTTGGGGTAAAGCAGAGAGATCCTTGCCTACTCCTTTGTGACCCTCCCCTAGGGTGACTTAAAAGATGGAGATTATTTTCATCTGTAGTTCAGACTGACTATAACCCATATTAGTCACTTCTTTGACTACTGTGATGGTATTTGACAAAAATCGCTTTATGAATGAAAGGTTTGCTTGCATTCAGTTGAGAGGCTGTAGTCTATCATGGCAGAGAAGGCATGGCAGCAGGAGTGGGAAGCCACTGGCCATATTACCTCCATGACCAGAAAGCAGAGAGACCAGGAAGCAGGGCTGGATAAGAAACCTCAAACCCCACCCTTATAGATTCACTTCTTTCAGCTAGACCTCAAGGCCAACATTATCTGGGAACCATGTGTTCAAACACATGACCTAGGGAACCACTCATTCCTAATTCAAACCACAACACAGGATTTCTTCATGGGGATGTTTCTAGGTTACTTGTGTTGATCATCACAGTTAAACATTTCCTGGGTACCTTCAGATACCATAATCTTCATGTCTATCTGAGCACCCATTGCTGCTCAGGACAAAGGCCATCTTTAAGTGCTCCGGCGGGCATGTCTGACTCTGAAGTGGCCTGAACTGATACCCTGAAGTGGACAGCCCTGCCAAGAGCCTTGATGAGTCACATCAGCTGCTTTCAGATGGTTGTTCAGAGATAAGACCATAATCATGAGCCAAAGATATAACAATACTTTTATTTTCACTGTTACTTTTTATCATACTGAACAGAAAACATACTGAAGAAGAAATACATGCTGGATTAAAGAGAAATAACCATCAACACAATTAAGTGAACCCATTTTAGTACAAAACACTGCTTGCTCTAGAGATAGAACTTTGAGACAATCAAAAGGTCCGTGTCAGCATTATATGGAAACATCATTTTCTGGACATTACAGTGGCCCATGTGTCTAGTTAGATACCATCTTTCCAGGGTCCAAGGCAATGGGTGTTATAAATTGACTATGTACTGTGGCCACAGGCTGTGCTATCCAGCTTACTACTGGACACAGAGATGATATCACCATCTGTACTCAGTAATTAATAATAACATTAATGATACAGCAGCCAGAGAGTATGAGTGCTCATAGTGTACAAAGTGGTCTTCCCCTTACCATCTATGATGGATTTCTGACAATGATGCAAAATCAGAAGTACAGTTAGGATTGCTGTTGTCATGCTAGACTTCTGGAAATTCAAGGGACAAAGGAACAAACCAGATGACATCTGAATCAAAGAGACTGAGAAATGAAAAGGTGGGACATTCTCGGTGATAGCTGAGTTAGTCCTCCCAAGAAACCATAGCCAAGGAGGAGACTAAAATGGACTTAGGAGGCATAACAACACATCCCTGCACCAGGTCCTATTTTAGACACACTAACTACAAAGCTAAAGTACTTCTGAGACAGAAAAACCACAATTAAAATGAACTGTTTTGTTAAATATAACAACATTGTTTAGGAGACATTCTCATTTAAGAAGTAATTCTTTCCAGTCATCAGAAGCAGCACTCAGCGTGCAGGCCCTGCACCTCACCTTCCAGAGCAGCACAGTCAAGTTGACCCTGTTAACTGGGGCAAGGGTGAGTCTGCCACAGGAATGTGAAGGGGGGGGCTTGGACCTGGCCCCACCCCTCAACTACCATACAGGGGTGTCAGCAAGGGAGAGATGTCCTCCCTTCCCACCACCACCTGTGGTGGATGGGAGAGCTGGCCCTAAAGTCATGAGAGCAGGAGAGCTGCCCCCCCCACCAGCTGCAGCACTTGGGAGAGTGGCCCCTGTGCCTTACCTGGGCAACACAGCAGAGCTGGACCTGGTGGTATAGGTGTGGGTGAGTCAACCCGGAAAGGCAGGAAAGCAAGAGAACCATCCCACCCCCTTACTCATTGCTGTATATGGTGAACTACCCAGGGCAATGCTGGAGAATTTACCCTGGTGGTGAGAATGGGGGCCAACTGGCAAGCTGACCAACCCTGAAACCATCCAGGCCTAGAACCAGGGCTATGAGTTGGCTCCCACCCCAACATCCACCCCATCTGTGATCTGCTGGAGCACATGCAGGGATTGGTCCTGCAGATCCAAAGAGGCAGCATCTCCATGACACAGAGCAACAACATGATACCCAATATTGATTAGTGTAGCAGAAATCAGAGGCCTTGAACCAGACCAATGACTCTCTGCAATGAACACTTGCAAGTAAAGACATATGGACAAAAGGATACACTGTGTGACTCATGAGATTTCTCTCCTTTGGTTTCTCTTTTTTTCTTTTCTCTTATTTTATTTAAGGGGAGGGTGATGCAAGGACAGAGGATGGTTACAAAGGGACAGGGAGATGAGTGGGATTGATGATGCATGAGGTGAGATCCACAAAGATGAAATAAAAAGTTAAAATAATAATTCTCTCACTGAGCTAGAAATGTTGGGAGAGGCTACACAATAGTACACCATGTGGATAATCCAGTCAAACACTTCTAGTATCCAGAAGGTGCCATGGAAGCTTCCAAAGCAAGGAGGCAACCAACAGTCCTACCCAACTACAACACCTTTGAACCTCATCAATGACCAGCAAGTCATGATAACTCTCCAGGTGCAGGAGTGACACACATAACCTAGTGGTAACCAACATTTCTCTAACTGAACTTAAGACTCACTCAACAAGGGGGAAAACATGCCTGGTACTGAAAACCTAGCCAACTACTTAGTGCTAGTGAAGTCATGGTTATTAGAGGAGAATCTACAGCCACTAATTTATTAAGCCAGCATAATCCCTAACAACAATCTAAAATCACTTGTATTTATACCCATGGATAAGTGCAGTCTTCAGCTCTCGCCAAGGAAACTTCTCTTTACAACAGTTGAAAAGCATTACAGAAAACACAACCAATCAAAATACAGAGTTGTGGAGCCCAGTCCCAACTGATACACCTACAAAATGCTCCGGCACCTAAGACTTAGGGAACATGGTCAAAGAGGGGGCAGAAGGATTGTAAGAGCCAGAGAATCATGGAGTTTTCTGCATCTCTTTGTAACATCAGAAGCTACATCCATATAGTCTCACCAACATGACTGCCCAAACATGAGCCAAACAAAGATGCCACCAATGAGCATGCCAAACTGGATGCAGGAAAGCCTCAGTCCCAAAGAACCATAGATAACTGAAGAAAAGCTGGGAATGGGAGACGTGGTCTTCCTCAAGGAAGAGCGCACCAACTGATTGTCTAGTGCCAAACAGTCAACCCTGAAAATATACATGCAGTTAACATTATACAGACTGAACAGGTTACACTTAGAAACATATATGTATACTAATACATATATGCATGCAATTACAATTAGTGAAATAAGAGGCCATAAATTTTAAAGAGAGTGGAGAGAGGTATACAATAGGGTTCAGAGGGAAGAAAGGGGAGGGGAAATATTGTAATTATCATAACCTTTAAAATCATAACCTTAAAAAAATAACCTTCTGGGGGATAGAAAGATGACTATCTATTAAGAACACTGGCTGCTCTTCCAGGGGTCTTGAGCTCAATTCCCAACAACCACATGGTGGCTCACAACCATGTGTAATAGGATCTAATGCCCTCTTCTGGCATGTAAGTGTATATGCAGAGCTCTCATACATTAAATATGGATACATAAGTAAATTTTTAAAACCTTCTGGGATCTTATTAAATTAATGAAAATATATTGAATAAGCCTTGTATAACATGCTCAGCCCTATTAGACACTTTGGAGACATAATGGAGATAACATTGGCACAGTCAAGGAACCCACCCTCACCAAACAGAACAAATAAAAACAATCACATTCTAAAAACCACATCGTACAAAGTGAAACAGCAGAGACAGGGAGGTTTCTGGGGCTGTCCTCTGTGAAGACCCCTTCAGGAGGTGGGGGGGGTGTGAACAGAGATCCAAAGGATGAGAGCCATCAACAGAAGCTCTCTGTCTGTGCAGGTCTGCAACACTCACTGATCGGGAGCAGCTCTCAAAGTTTGCCTGAAGGTTTTTCTTCCTATACAGGCGATGTTAAAATTTCTTTACTTTCCTTTATATTTATTTGTGTGGGGGAGAGAG